GGTGTTTTTATACTGAGATTAGTAATTGAAACCTTGAATATCTGAAGTGGAGATAACCAAAGGAAGAGTGTACATCAGACAATTGAGGGGGCATTTACTAATATAATTAAGATTACTAAAAATGCTCCTGAATTTCACTGTACTTACAACACATGGTGCTATTTCTTCAATTTTACCTCCAAAAATTCTTTAAAAACTTAAATAAGGTCTCACTCATAGCAGGAATTTAGAAAACCTAAATTAGGAACTAGGAAAAAGACTAATTATAATAAAGTAAATATCAAAATCAACAAGGAACTATAAACCAGAGACACACTACAGGGTGGGGGCGAAGGGTATAGGATTAAAACAAGTGGTGGGGATTGTACATGGACTATAACCAAGAAGAAAGTGCATACGTTGTGCAAAAATGAAAAATGATGGGGCCTCTCTGGTGGCACAGCGGTTGACCGCTGGGTTGCTAAACTGCCCGCAGCCTCGGCAGCGCCAGTTCGATCTCCGGCTGCCGGGTGAGGGTCCCACATGGCGCGCAGACCTCTCCTGCCGCCCGCTGCTCCCCTCAGCATTGTCCTTGGTCCGTCTGCCTGTTCTGCTCCCCGCTCTGGCTCTGGTGAATTCTCTCACCCTCCCTCGCTTCTGACTGTACCCAGTGCTTATATTAATAAATAAATAAATAAACAAACAAACAAACAAATAAATAAATAAATCTTTATAAAATGAAAAATGATGTAAAATATATACAAAATATAATAAAAAATAAAATAAAAACTTAGATAAGTTTAACAAAGTGTACTTTTTTGGTCAGAAAACAGTAAAATAAATAAATAGAACATTTGGTACTGTTAGAAGTTATTGCAAGTTGGGCCTCCTCTGGTGGCGCAGCAGTTGAGTGCTGGGCTGCGAGGCTGCCCAGCCTCTGCAGTGCCGTTTTGTTCACCGGCCACTGGCGAAGGTCCCACAAAAAAAAAAAAAAAAGAAGTTAATGCAAGTTGACTATGGTTCATGCTTCATGCTTTATGCTCCTGACAAACCTTAGCTTCTGGGCTTTTTCTGCCACTATCACCTTTGCTCAAGATGGCAAGCCCTCATATGTCCCATGTGGTGGTCTGGACTGTAAGTCAGGAGATGATATGATAGAAAAAATTCTCGTATAGTATTTATTCTATGTTTTGCTTATCAACATGTTGTAGTTATTAATTGTTATAGATTACAAGTTATTAATTATGTAGTTACTACAGATTGTGCACAGCATGATACCATTAATGTACCAATGTACATTAAGCCAGTTGTAAGGTATAGATGTATAATTCTGTCTCCTTTGTAAATAGTCTTGCCAACCAGTAGGGTGGTGAAATAAAGGTATGCCTTTAGCTCCTTTTATTTTTTTGTATCTTATTTTTTTTTTTAAGATTTATTTATTCATTTTAACACAAGAACCGGGGTATAGGCCAGATGTGCAGGAGGGTGAGAGGATTTACCAGAGACAGAGCGGGGAACAGAACAGGCAGACTGACTGAAATACACTGCTGAGGGGAGCAGCGGGCAAGACAGGAGAGGTCTGCCACAACATGTGGGACCCTCGCCGGCCGGCCAGAATTGAACCAGCGCTGCAGAGGCTGTGAACAGCTTCACAGCGCGGTACTCAACCACCTGCACCACCAGGGGAGACCCTTTCCTACCTTATTAATAGACTGCATTGTGACCTCTGAGGCAAAATGAGTAGGTAGGTGTTTAGAAGTTGAGGCAGTTATGTGTCACTACAGTTTTATCCGATGTCTTCAATTTGATATTCTCCCTTAGGCCAAGTCAGACATGAGGGGATCCCACCTCAAAAATCCTTAAAATGCCAAAAAATAAGATAAAACAATGAAAACACAGCAAATATTTTATTAGAATCAACTTTTAAAAAAAATCAGTTATGTTTCATTTTATTTTTGAATGCTTTCTAATTCCATTCTTAGCATTCCTTTGTCTTTCAACTTAAGAAAATAATTTTGGCTTGCATTGTTACCATTGTTTTGTTTTGTTTTGTTTTTCCTTAACAAAGAAAAGTTTTGACTTGCATTGTAGGACTTTCTTATAAAACCAGAGACACTCCTTTGATTGGCAAAATTGTCATTTTTTTAAATCATGTCCAAAGATGCTAAAACCTCAATTTAGAGCAGTTATTCATCCAAAAAGGGTTTTTGTATCTGTTATCTTTTTTTTAAGATTTATTTTTTATGCATACAAGCTGGGGTACAGGCCAGAGGTGTTGGGGGTGAGAGGATTCACCAGAGACAGAGAAGGGAACAGAACAGGCAGATTGACTGAAGTAAACTGCTGAGGGGAGCAGCGGGAGAGACAGGAGAGGTCTGCCCCACCATGTGGGAATCTCCCTGGCTGCCCAGGGATTGAACTCATGCCACAGAGGCTATAGATTGCTTCATAATTCAGTGCTTAATCCCTTGTGCCACCAGGGATTTATCGAACTTTTACATAGTGATCTCAGTCTTTCAGGAACCCTGGCTAATTTAAACTATTTTTACTCTTGTGTTGCTTGTTATATCTATTCTCATAGATGATATAAATTTGAGTTTATTTGACAATACTTTAGAATTCTTCCTGTCTTGTCTTCAGTCTTTATTAAATTCCTTGATTAAAGGATTGATTATTCAATATTACTTGATTAAAATATAATTAATCAATAAGAAATTTGTACATTTCCCCCTTGCATTAGCATTTGGTTTTGGTTTCCCTAGGTAAAATGTCAAGTTCTTCTATTTATATTTTTTTAATTTCAATATACTCATTCTCCAAAAATTTGGACAAAAGAATCATTAAACCTTCCACTTCTAAGCATGATTTTTCTTTGTTCTCAGAACAAAACTGCTTACCTGAAATTCTTGGATTCATAGGACAGCTGGACTAGATTTTCCTACAGGACTCCATTATTTGTATTGTATTGAATTGTATTGCTCTAAAACAAGGTCATTGGAGCTCATTTAGTTTTGAGTTTCACCTAACATCATTTTTATTTACATTCCTGGCTCTTTACTCAGCTCTACTGCTGCTGTCTTATACATCCTTGACACATTTCTTCTGCTCTCTGATAAACTCTCCTTTTGGTAAACTCTTCCTTTGATGTGCTCAGTCCTCTATTCTGAAATATCTGTCACTTACCAATTTTTTTTGTCTTTTATTTTTTATTTATTTTTTTTTTTTTTAAAGATTTATTTATTTATTTATACAAGCACTGAGTACAGTCAGACGTGTGGGAGGGTGAGAGAATTCACCAGAGCCAGAGGTGAGAGCAGAGCAGGCAGACTGACAAAGTACACTGCTGAGGGGAGCAGCGGGCGACAGGAGAGGTCTGCGCTCCATGTGGGCCCCTCGCCAGGCTGCCAGGGATCGAACCAGTGCTGCAGAGGCTATGGGCAGCTTCACAGCCCAGCACTCAACTGCTGCGCCACCAGGGAGGGTCCATTGTTGGATGCTGATAGCTTAAATTTTATTGAGGATTTTTGCATCAGTGTTCATTAGGGAGATTGGCCTGTAGTTTTCTTTTATTGTGTTGTCCTCATTTGGTTTTGGTATTAGTGTAATGTTGGCTTCATAGAATGTGTTTGGTATTATCCTTTCCTTCTCTATTTTTTGAAAGAGTTTGTGAAGTATAGGCACTAGTTATTTTCTGAATGTTTGGTAGAATTCATTTGTAAACCCATCTGGTCCTGGGATTTTGCTTTTGGGGAGTTTTTTTTTTTAATATTTATTTTATTTATACCTGCACTGCAGAGGTTGCAGACAGTTCCACAGCACTGAGCTCAACCTCCTGCACCACCAGGGAGGCCCTGGGGAGGGTTTTGAACAACATTTCAATTTCACTGCTTGAATTGGGTGTTTAGGTGTTCTATCTTCTTTATCTAACTTTGGGTGATTGTAAATTTATAGGAATTTGCCCATCTCATCTAGGTTGTTGAACTTGTTTGCATATAACTTCATAGTAGTTTCTGATTATTCTTTTGATTTCTGCTGTGTCTGTTGTGATTTTGCCTCTTTCATTTATTATCCTATTTATTGGTGCTTCCTCCTGTTTTTCTTTTGTGAGCCTGGGTGAGTGTTTGTCTATTTCATTTATTTTTTCATAGAACCAACTTTTGTTTTCATTGATCTTTTGTATTTTTTTTCCAGTTTCTATTTCATTTATTTCTGTTTTTTTTTTTTAAGATTTATTTATTTATTTATACCAGAACCAGGGTACAGGCCAGATGTGCGGGAGTGTGAGAGGATTCACCAGAGACAGAGTGGGGAACAGAACAGGCCGATGACAAATACACTGATGAGTGGAGCAGCAGGCAAGACAAGAGAGGTCTGCTGTGCCATGTGGGACCCTCGCTGGTAGGCCGGGATTGAACCGGCACTGCAGAGGCCGAGGACAGCGCCACAGTGCTGCACTCAACTGCCTGTGCCACCAGCGAAGGCCCTTCTGCTTTGATTTTTATTATTTCCTTTCTTCTACTGGTTTTAGGGATTTTTTGTTGTTCACACAAAGAAATTTAATATTAATTAGGAAATGCAGATAATTGATTCTCTATCATACTTTTTGCACAATCTGATTTTGCATACTCATTGGTGCGGCAAAGGTCTCTCTAGATATTTATTAGCCAAGTGTTCATGCTTGGAGACCAATATAGAGCAACTTAACCAGTTAATGGGGATATATTATTTTCTCGCATTCAAATCCTAAAATAAGAATTTCTGTAATTGACAGCACTGCTACACATTAAATGCTTATTTAAGATATCATTTGAAAAATAAAAACTATCAAAATCAACTGTTATTATTATTTGATGTCACAGAGAAATTCTAAGTAGGTAGGTAAGTTTCCTGTAAGCATGATCTACTTTATAAATAAAGTCCACAAGATTGTATTAATTCTATCCGGTGTCAACATACTATTCATAGTCTGTATTTCTTTATTTTTGGAGATTGAAAGGAATGACATAATTTTCTCTTTTCAGGGGGGAGCAGAACATAACATTCCAGTTGTTATTTCAAAAATCTCCAAGGAACAAAGAGGTAAAGTGTTAAAAAATTATGCAGTATCCATCCTTTTAAATCATAGTGTTTGTTTTTCACTTGTCATCAGGGAAATGCAAATCAAAACTACCATGAGATACCATCTTACACCAGTGAGAATGGCACATATTAAAAAAACTAGCAACAACAAATGTTGGCGAGGGTGTGGAGAAAAAGGAACTCTTCTGCACTGTTGGTGGGAGTGCCAACTGGTCCAACCACTGTGGAGAGCTGTGTGGAGATTTCTGGACCTACTAAACATAGAGCTTCCATATGATCCAGCAATTCCACTCCTAGGTATTTACCCAAAGGACACAGAAACATCAATTCCAAAGAACACCTGCACCCCTATGTTTATAGCAGCACTGTTTACAATAGCTAAGCTTTGGAAACAACCCAAATGCCAAAAAATAGATGACTGGATCAAGAAGATATGGTACATATATACCATGGAATATTACTCAGCATTCAAAAAAGATAAACACATGCAGTTTGCAGCAACATGGATGGCGCTGGAAGGGATCATGCTCAGCGAAATAAGCCAAAAAGAAAAAGAAAAATACCAGATGGTCTCACTCATCGCAGGAATCTAGAAAACTTAAATAAGGGACCAGGAAAATGAATAACTATAAGAAAGTGAAAATCAAAATCAACAAAAAACTATGAACCAGAGACACTTTTAGGGGGGCGGGGCGGGAGGGGAGGGATTGGGGTCAGAATGGGGGGGCTGCAATTGTATGGGGAATATAAAAATAAAATTTATTATTTAAAAAAAATCATCGTGTTTGAAGAATAAGATGTTTTTAAAATCAAAAATTATCATGTGATTTACTAGCTCTGGATTCCCATATGTCAGATTCCCTTTATTACTTCACAGGAGGGTTTCCCTCCTAGGAGAGCAAGGATGAAAGAAAATTAGACTTGTTCCTATGATTGAGTTAGGGACAACAAAGATTTTGAATCATTTCACTAAACAACCATACAGGGATTTTTACTGATAACAAGTCATTACAAATATAGGCAAAAAACTAATATGCATATAAGCTGTTTGTATGACTGAAATTAGGAAGACAATCTAATGTTTAAAAAGAAACTTGTAACTGACTCCAAAGCTGATAGACTGAATGTGAAGATCTAAACTTTTATCTAGATACCTTAACAGTATAGTCACCCATTCAGAAATGTGACTGAAGATTTGGCACCTGAAAGATCTGAGATGGTAGAATTACATAGATATATTTTGGCATGTTTCTAAAACAAATAAGGCTAAATCATTTTTTTCTCATTTCTATTATTGTTGGATCTTTTAAAATATTATTCCTATAAGGCATTTATTTTTTTTCCTTTTATAAGTTTTACCTTTAGAACTGATAAAATTCCTTTCACCTATAGAAAGAAAGTAGACAATGCATAACCAATTATCCTTTTTTCTTCATAGCGGAACTTTCAGGACTACTTTTTATTGGAGATGCAATTCTACAGGTAAACATTTTAACCTTTATTTTTTTATGTGCAAATAAAAGATAAAACCAATTTACAATATTTACCTTCTGAAGTGGTGATTTTATTTTCATTGTAGATAAATGGAATTAATGTGAGAAAATGCAGACATGAAGAAGTGGTAAGCTTTCTTTTTTCTAATATCATAACTGTTCCCGTGTGCAAATGACAGTATAGTTCATTGCTCAATACTCTTAATCTTATTATATTATATCATATTGATATTGATCCTGTGTGCTATTTGGATTTCTAAATAATGCCTTATTTGATTTTTACTTATTAGAATCAAATCAGTTAATATCCAGTATAAAATGTGATTCTAAGTAATACTTAAGGGGCATTGTTTGCTATGTTTTTCCAGTTTTTATATTAATCCTTTACCAATAAATGTCATTTAAGTGTATCTCCAAATAAAATATAGCTCTAAATTTCTGAAACTTTTAAAAATCTCATAAAAGTAGCATTTATGTTATAAAATTACATGCAGTGGCAGAGACTCTGTGTGTGTGTTTGTGTGTGTGTGTATGCATGTGTGTGAGCATGTGCAAGAAGTAGAGGTGACTTAGAGGTGCTTAATCTCAAGGCAAACAGGGTAGGGAGTAGGCAGAATGGTCATCAATTTTACTGTGGTGTTTTCTTAGATATTAGTAAATGTGCAGATGTGAAGTACCAGTCAAGAATACTCTAAATAAATCAGTTTAGGTAGGCTCAGAAATTTGAATTTTAACAACCATTCCAAGTCACTCCATTGTAGGTGCTCTCTAATCTACATTTTGTGGGGCTCTGGAAGGTTGAGGCACTTCTGTTGGGTATGGTCAAAGCCCATAGAAATGATACAGAAAGGAACAGAGGAGTGTTAGAGATTCAGGAAATGCTTATCGTGGTTGATTAAATAGCATTCATATAACCATCAATGAATTTCTGTGTCAGTTCCACAGGAAGAAAAAGAGGAGAATTATGGTTAATAGTTTATAAAAAAGAGTCAAACTAATAAAAAAATACAATAAGTGTTTTGTTTCTCTCAGCTCTAATTTATTTGGTTTATGAATACATCACTTATGTTAAAAACTATTTGGATAGAGAACACTCTTTTGACATATTTATATATTTCAAATCACCCTCAAGTGTCTGTGGGGCACCTCAAGGGTCTGTGAAAAGACAGAGTTCCTGAAGCAGTAATATTAGAGAGCCATTCACTATGAGTACTAGAAATTGCTGATCAAGTTCTGCGAGAGTTCATTTTATTTTTCCGTGTGTATGTGTGAGTGTGTGTGTGAGTGTGTGTGTGTGTGTGTAGACCACATTTAAAAAAAATTGTGTAGAATAACAGGAGGGTAGGCCATGGTGTGGGGGGTGAGAGGATTCAACATAGACAGATTAGGGAGCAGAACAGGCAGATTTACTGAAATACACTGCTAAGGGGAACAGCAAGAGACAAAGGAGATGTCTGCTGTGTCATATGTGGGTTAGGCATAAAATTCAGGCTGCAACAATGATAGTGCTTACCCCTAGGCCACCAGGGAGGCTCACCACATTTTTCTGAGGTACTCTGTACTTGGCACTTAGATTGTCTCCATGACTTGTCTATGGTATATATGTCTACAAGGAACATAGGAGTGTTGATATTCCTTCAAATTAGTATTTTTGCAATCTTCAGAGAGATAGAGTGGATTTACTAGGACATATGGTCTATCCACTTTTAATTTTTTTAAAGATTTGTTTATACGAGAACTGGGGTACAGGCCAGAGGCGCAGGAAGGTGAGAGAATTCACCAGAATCAGAGATGGGAACAGAAAAGGCAGATGGACTGAAAACACTGCTGAGGGGAGCAGTGGGCAAGACAGAAGAGGTCTGCCATGCCATGTGGGTATCCCCCTGGCTTAGCAGGAATCCAACCCACACTGCAGAGGCTGTGCTCAACCCACTGTGCCACCGGGGAGGACCTATTGACTTTCAATTTTGAGAAATCTTTATATTATTTTTCACAGGCCCTGTGCCAGTTCACATTCCAGCAGTGTAAAATGTTTCTTTTTCCCCAAATCCTCACTAACACTTGTAGCTTCTGACTTTCCTATGGACTAATCTCACAGATTTGAGGTAGTTTTAATTATCATTTCTTGATTATAAGTGATGATGGGCATTTTTTCATGTTGATCACCATTATATCTACTTTGGAGTACTGACTGTTTTCTGCTTCTCCCTCTTCCTTTTTGTTGTGTTGCTTGAGTTCTTTGTATATTTGGAGCATCAGTCCTTTGCCAGATATATGGTGTGCAAATATTTTCTCCTGTTCAGCAGATGTCTTTTTACTGATAGATGCTTTGTGTACAAGCTTTTTAGCTTGGTGTAATCCCTTTTGTTTATTTTTGCTTTCACTTCTTTAGCTGTTGGAGAAAAATCCCCAAATACAAATTTGAAGCCAATGTTGTGGATGGTTTGCTTATTTTTCCCAATGTATTTCATGGTTCCAGGTCTTCTATCCATGTCTTCTATCCATTTTTTTTTTTTTTAAGATTTATTTATTTATTCATACAAGCACTGGGTACAGTCAGAAGTGTGGGAGGGTGAGAGAATTCACCAGAACCAGAGCGGAGAACAGAACAGGCAGACCGACGAAATACACTGCTGAGGGGAGCATCGGGCATGGCAGGAGAGGTCTGCGCACCATGTGGGACCCTCACCAGAGGCTGGGGATCAAACTGGTGTTTCGCAGCCCAGTGCTCAACTTCTGTGCCACCAGGGGAGGCCCGTTCTATCCATTTTGAGTTAATTTTTATGTAAGGCTTGAGATGGTGATCTATTTTTATTCCTTTGTTTGTGACCATCCAGTTTTTACAATACCATTTGTTCAAGAGACTCTTATTTCTCCAATGTAGACTCTAGATTCCTTTATCATAGATTAACTGCCCATATATGTATGGATTTGTTTCTGGACTCTGAATTTTATTCCATTGTTCTATGTGCCTTTTGTGGTTCCATATAAATTTCAGTAATATTTGTTCCATATTTTTGAAGAATGCTATTGAAGCCTCAATAGAGATTGCAATGAATCTATATATTGATTTGGGAGGATCATCATTTAAACAATAAGAATTCCTCTAGTCCATGAGAATGGCATATTTTTATGTTTTGTGTCTTTTTATATTTCTCTCAAGGATGCCTTATAGATGTCATACTATAGGTTTTTCACTTCCTTAGTTAAGTTCACCCCTATATTTAATTTTCTTGTTGTAATAATTATGAATGGGATTTTTTGCTGGATTTCTTTCTTTTCCAACTCATTGTTTACATATAGAAATACAACTGAGGGCCTCCCTGGTGGTGCAGGCAGTTGAGTGCCACACTGTGAAGCTGTCCGCAGTCTCTGCATCGCGGGTTCAATCCCTGATAGCCAGGATAATCCCACATGACACAGCAGACCTCTCCTGTCTCGCCCGCTGCTCCCCTCAGCAATGTATTCCATCAGTCTACCTGTTCTGCTCCCCACTCTGTCTCTGGTGAATCCTCTCACCCTCCTGCACATCTGGCCTGTACCCCGGTTCTTGTATAAATAAATAAATCTTTAAAGAAAACAAAATAAATACAACTGATATTTGTAGACTGATTTTTTTTTACCCTGAAATTATTATTTTTTAAAGATTTATTTATTTATTTATACAAGCATTGGGTACAGTCAGAAACGTGGGAGGGTGAGAGAATTCACCAGAGCCAGAGCGGAGAACAGAACAGGCAGACCGACGAAGTACACTGCTGAGGGGAACAGAGCGTGGCAGGGGAGGTCTGCGAGCCATGTGGGAACCTCGCCCAGCGGCTGGGGATCGAACCTGCACTGCAGAGGCTGCGGGCAGCTTCGCAACCCAGCGCTCAACTGCTGCGCCACTGGGGAGGCCCTGAAATGATTTTTTTTTAAAAAAAGATGTATTTATTTATTTATACAAGCACTGGTTACAGTCAGAAGAACAGGAGGGTGAGAGAATTCACCACAGCCAGAGCAGAGCAGGGAACAGAACAGGCAGGCCAATGAAATACACTGCTGAGGGGAGCAGCGGGCGGTAGGAGAGGTCTGCGCGCAGTGTGGGACCCTCGCTGGCCGCCAGGGATCAAACCGGCACCAGCACTGCAGAGGCTGCGGGCAGCTTTGCAGCCCAGGGCTCAAGCGCTGTGCCACCAGGGAAGGCCCACCCTGAAATTATTTTTTAATTTTAATTAGTTTTCTTCAGTGGAGTCTTTAGTGTTTTACATGTGTATTATCATGTCATCTGTAAATGATGATATTTTTACTTCATCTTTCTCAATTTGCTTTCCCAATTTGGATTCCTTTTTATCTTTCTCTTTCGTGACTGTTCTAGCTAAGACATCCAACACTATGTTGAAAAGTAGTATGAGAGCAGACATTTGTGTCTTGTACCAAATATTAGAAGAAAAGTTTTCAGCTTTTCATTATGGGATATGATATTGACTGTGGGTTTGTCATATATGGCCTTTATTATGTTGAACAATGTTCATCTATCCCCAGCTTTTGGAGGGTTTTTAATCATAATAACTTTAATCAAATGCGTTGTCTACATCGATTGTTTTAATGATATGCTTTTTATTATTCCTGTTTTTTAAAGATTTATTTATTTTGTATATACAAGAACTGGGCTACAGGCCAGAGGTGAGGGGGGTGAGAGGATTCACTAGAGACAGAGTGGGGAGCGGAACGGGCAGATTGACTGAAATACACTGCTGAGGGGAGCAGGGGGTGAGACAGGAGAGGTCTGTTGTGCCATGTGGGTAGCTCCCTGGCAGGGGATCAAACTTACTTCACCAGAGAGACCCTCCTTTTGTTTCTGTGGTGAATTATAGCATTGTTTTCTGATGTTGAACAATCTCTATAGCCCTGTAATAAAACATACTTGATCTTTTTGATTTATTATTATATTTTTTTTGTTAAGATAATGTTGAGAAATTTCAATTTTTACATCTATATTCATCTGGAGAATTGATGATGATTCTATTTTTTTTTTAGATTGATTAATTGATTTATATAAGAACTGGGTTACAGGTCGGAAGCGTGGGAGGGTGAGAGAATTCACCGGAGCCAGAGCAGGGAGCAGAACAGGCAGATGGACCGAGAA